TTTTTGCATGGTGAGATGTGTTCCACACTGGGCATGCATACTCAGCAGCAGAGTAGCATAGGTCATGGGCGATTTCAACTATCCCGATATTTGCTGGAAAACAAACTCGGCCAAGAGTACAAAGTCCAACAAATTCCTCGCTTGCCTTGCAGACAATTTCATGGTCCAGAAGGTAGAAGAGGCAACAAGGGGATTGTGGTGGAGGCTCCTTCTTTGGAGGCTTTTAAGCAGAGGCTGAATGGCCATCTGTCAGGGGTGATTTGAATGCAATATTCCTGCTTCTTGGCAGGGGGTTGGACTGGATGGCCCATGAGGTCTCTTCCAACTCTTTGATTCTATGATTCTAAGGGCAGATGTCTTCACTGTGTCTGGTTGTGATCCCCAGGTTGTGCCAGTCAGCTTTCATATGATATTGTTTCCAGCACCCACTCTATTGCTAATGGAAGGTTTATAAACCCAGAATTACAAAGAGAGATTATATTTCCATACTCTTTTTGTAGAGGTGCGGATTCTCATGTATATGTGCATGTATGTATATATGTGTGTTCTTCTTGTTGCATGCCTAAAACGACCCTGTAACAGGTGTTTCTTGGCTGAAGATGTTTGTACCTGCCTTCCTCTGAGGCAGAAGCAAAGTGACTTGTGCAAGGTCACTCACTGATTTAGGATTCGAACTCTGGTCTTCAGCATCATAGTCCCAATATTCCAGCCCCTGCACTATACTAGCTGATGTATGGATGCAGATGATAAAATTAAAATTAGTGTACAAGCATTGCAAGACTGTCGCTTTTCAGATGTGTTGAACAGCAACACATCTTTGTTTATTGGTGAGTCATGCCAGGCATGGAAAGCAGAAGTGGTTGAAAGAGAGACAAATATAAGGTTAAAAATGTTTTTTCCCTTCATCATTCATGTTGTTGATTGTATCATTAGTGTTCTCTGGTCTGAAACTCAAGAGCTGGCAAGCACAATGTGGAGGGGGCAATCTGGCTGGAAAGTCTGTGTCGAGGGACTGCTTTTATAAAATAAAATACTTTTTAAATAAATAAAAAAGGTGTTTTCCCCTGCTAGCACTTTGCATTCCTTGAAATGAGCTATWACCTCTTTTGTTGTTGATACAGACAGTTCCCTGCCATCTAATATTACATGGTTTCACCATTTGGAGAAATTACTTCCTTGGAGTGATGCTGTTCCCCTGCGCATGTTGGCTAAGGTTTTGGGGAAGCTGTTGTCCCCCCCCCCCACCCAAAAAAAAAAGTGCTTTCCCAAGCTTTGCATGGTTGTCTACAAGTATTTGCAGAGTCAGGAAAGGGCCATGGTTTGCATGGCTCTACAATTGGTTGGCTTGAGTTTTGCTAAGTATTTGAAACCAGCATTGACTGCAGTCTGTGAGAACCAGATAACTAGGAAGCTTCTCATTTAAGTTTCACCAGATGTTGACCTTGTTGAGGAACTTAGGGAAGTCCTTGCCTTCCTTCCTCTTCCTGCAGTCTGTAATCATATTTGACCTTAGTTGTAGGAAGTGTCAAAGTGATGGATGAGGAAGATACTGAGGTTTCAGCAGTAGTAGTTTGCAATTAATATAGCATTTGTGCTTTCCAACCTGTCTTATTTTCTGTCCTTGTGAATGAAAATCTTGGATGCCACCCCCTTCACTTTCTTCAGCTTTTTTTCTGCTTCCTGGGCACCTTTCTCCCTCATTTTCCAGTCTTCCCATGCGTTCCTTTTCCAGCCTTTTGGAAAATATATGCTCCAAGCAACAGGGTCTAAATAGCTTGAAAGCACCAGATCTTATCTACTCTTGTAGGCTCACCAGCATTGACCCTTCTTAGTATTTAGATAAGAGACTGCCAATGAATGCCAGGTGCTGTAGGCTATGTTTAAGAGGAAGTAACTGACAAAACTAGCTCTGAGTCTTCGTTGCATATGAAAACCCTCTGAAATTCATGAGGTCACCTTAAGTGAAAGCCAACTTGAAGGCGCATACCTCCCCACACATGCTTCAAGCAACACATCAGATCCTCATCCTCAACACAGCTCTTTGAGCAGGCAAACCCTGGCTGTTTTAAGCCCTTCAGGGAATCAGATCCTCTCACATATTTGCAAAATATAAATAGGTATTGGTAGAAACATCTGAGGAATGCAAAGATTGACTGTAGACCACACTAATTTCAGGTACTGAATGTTGTTATTGCTGTCATTCTGCCATTATACATGCCCTTGAATTCTAGACAGCTTTCACGTTCTGATAATTGTAGTAGTGATGTTTGATAAGCTGTAGGTTTACAACCAAAGCAAACAAGTCTCGGCGTTAACGATTCCAAGCTACTTGACAGCAGAGATTGCTTTGCAAATATCTTATTGGCTCATGCCCTCTCATACAGCAAGGCTATTTGCAAGTGCAAGAGTTTTTGTGGTAATATTTTTTGCATACATTGAGTTCTCTTTTTTCACTTTCAAAAGCCTGAAATGTTGTCTCTTAATCAGAAGCCTTTTCTGTCCTTAAAAGTACACAGACCAGGGACATCTGACGTCATTTTTTTATTATTTTTAATTACCCCAAGCTGCATCATACCTGTTGGCTCTAAAGAGAAACATGGAATGCAAATAGAGATTAGATAGATTGTGCGTTCTTTCAGCTATTCTTAGAAATACATGTGAGATCTTGCTACCCCACCTTTGATTTATGACTAAGATTATATTATGCATAATTTAAGAGCATTATATGCTTGTTATCTCAGGTTGCAAGAGGATCTTCTTATTGCCTCTTTTTTTAAGTCCCTCACCATTGAAAAGAACCATGTGTTCCAGTGAAACATAGAATTGTTCCTCCACATTTGCAGCTTAGACTTTTGTGGATTTGATTATTTATGGATTGAATTAAAATGGTTTTTAGGGGGACCTTGAGGGTGTGATTCCGTGGTCAGCTTCCTCCGGTCGTGCTGGAGGACCAGAGATTTCGAGAGAGAAAATATCTCTAGGATCCTTTAGATCCTCCAATGTGATTCTAGGGTAGGCATGGGCAGATTTCGGTCCTCAAGGTGCTTTGGACTGCAACTCACACAATTGCTAACATCTAGTTAGGAATTGTGGGAGTTGCAGTTCAAAGTACCTTGAGGGCCGAAGTTTGCCCATGCCTATTATAGAGCCACCTTTCAGCGCATGTTGACTATAGGGTTTATTTATTTATTTATTATTTGAACTTATATGCCGCCACTCTCCTGGGGCTCAGAACAGCTTACAAGAACAGGCTAAAATCGAACACAATTTAAAAACAATTTAAAACAATTTAAAAATAATCAAAGATCAAAGGCCCGTTGAAATAGATATGTCTTACATGCCCTGCAGAAAGCTGGTAAGTCCCACAAGGCACGGACTTCAGGTGGCAGAGTATTCCAGAGTGATGGTGCCACTGCTGTAAAGGCTCTGCGTCTGGTTGCTGTTAGACGCAAGGTCTTGACACTGGGAATTTCCAATAGATCTTGGTCCTCAGAACGGAGGGATCTCTGGGGTTGGGAGGGGGTGAGGCGGTCCCTCAGGTACATCGGCCCCAGACCATGCAAGGCCTTAAAGGTGAGTACCATCACTTTGAAAGTGATCCGGTGCTCAATTGGTAACCAATGCAGCTGTAGTAAGATTGGTGTTATGTGGCATCTCATCGGAATTCCCGCAAGAAGCCGAGCAGCTGCATTTTGTACCAGCTTGAGCTTCCGGATCACCGACAGAGGAAGGCCAATGTAGAGGGCGTTACAGTAGTCCAGTCTTGAGATGACCGTAGCCTGGATCACCATAGCTAAGTCGTCCCTGGACAGGTAGGGGGCCAGCCATCTAGCCTGCCGCAGATGAAAAAAGGCGGTTCTGCTAACGACGGAGACCTGGGCCTCCATCGTCAGCAGAGGGTCCAAAAGGACTCCCAGACTCTTTACCAATGATGACGGGCGTAGTGCCTCGCCATCCAGGGTAGGCAGCTGGATATCCCCACTGCCCAGTCGACCCAGCCATAGGATCTCCGTCTTTGCTGGATTCACCCTCAACCTGCTGGCACTCGGCCATCCAGTCACGGCCTGGAGGCACTGATGGAAATAATCGGGTACAGAGTCCGGTCGGCCTTCCATCTTCAGCACCAGCTGAGTGTCATCAGCGTACTGGTAACACTCAAGCCCAAAACCTCGAACCAAGCCCAAAACCTCGGGTTGTGCTGGAAGACCTATACATTCCTAAAGAGGTGTTCTCTCAGATTTTAAAAAAATCCCAATTCTTTTATTTGTGGTAACAGATTTTCATTTATTTATTTGCGATATTTATATACAGCTCTTCTCAACCCCGAAGGGGATTCAGGGCGGTTCACAGTGTTGGCAACAATTCAATGCCATCAATAAAAACAGTATAAAACATTAAAATAACATCACCTATCACACAGAGACATAGCAGTTGTCATAAACAGTCCTGGGTCATTGCACTTTCAACTTTCACTTTAAGTTTAAATATTTCTATGATGGGCTGAATGCTTGGTTTCATAGCAGGTCTTTAGCTGTCTCCTAAAGGTCAGGAGGGACGGGGCACGCGCGACCTGATCTCACTCAGAAGGGAGTTCGACAGCCGTGGGGCCACCACTGAGAAGGCTCTGTCCCTCGTCCCCACCAGCTGCACCTGTGGGGCAGATCCCTGGAAGATATTAATCTACGAACTGGTTCATAGAGGGAGATACGTTCAGAGATACTTTCATGGGAGCCTTGTGCCCCAACCCTAGTGAATGTGGAGGTCTGACTATACATTGAATTGATCACTGAGAGATCTATGCGAGTAACGTGGTGATTCAGTAATATCTTGTGACACATATAAACCATGCCTGCATGTCATGAAGGCCTTCATCCTGTTTGTGAAAACCATCAAAAATATACATCTATATTTGTTAGCTAGATAGTGGGGACAGGTGTGTTTTTGGGCCAACTGCACTTGTTGAAATCCCTCTTTTTTACTTTTTACCCCCTCTCTTGCAGCGGCCTTATTGTTCCTGAGAGGGAAAACAACGAGACTGTTCCAGAAGTCGTTGCCACCTCCGGCTATGCTCTTCTGCACTTCTTCAGCGATGCGGCGTATAACTTGACGGGGTTCAACATCTCCTACGAGTCAGTAAATATACATAAGGGGTACCAAGGAAAAATGTTGAAAGTACTGTACAATAATAGGACTTTAGAACTTATTCCTGGGTAACATTTCAAGGCCATTTTGAAATACAGATCACACTAATTCTCTTCCTTAAAGTAAAACATAGGAATAACTTGGTTTCACTTTTGGTAGTTTAGCAAGTGATGAAAGTAGGCCTGTTTATTATGGGAACTTATTAACCACAGTTTCATTTCTACACAAATATTTGAATACCAAAGATCCATCTTAGAAATGCTCTCTCTAGACCTCTGTAGTACATGCTGTCATGTGTACATTTGTGTTACCTGCAGCAACTACCTGGCTCTTCACCAGATATGAGGAGCAACAGACAGACAATTGCTGCTTGACATGTCATTTGTTCACTTGCACCTCCCCTAAAAAGAGTTTTCTTTTGTTGGCAAAATGCAGCTCTCCATGTGCTGTTGGGCCACAACTCTCAGAATTGTATGCACTTAAGTTTGCCCATTTAAGTACACAACTCTCAGAACTGTATACACTTAATTTTGCCCATTTAAGTACACAACTCTCAGAACTGTATGCACTTAAGTTTGCCCATTTAAGTATACAACTCTCAGAACTGTATACACTTAATTTTGCCCATTTAAGTACACAACTCTCAGAACTGTATGCACTTAAGTTTGCCCATTTAAGTATACAACTCTCAGAATTGTATGCACTTAAGTTTGCCCATTTAAGTACAGAATTCTCAGAATTGTATATACTTAAATTTGCCCATTTAAGTACCGAACTCTCAGAATTGTATGCACTTAAGTTTGCCCATTTAAGTACAGAACTCTCAGAATTGTATACACTTAAGTTTGCCCATTTAAGTACACAACTCTCAAAATTGTATACACTTAAGTTTGCCCATTTAAGTACACAACTCTCAGAACTGTATATACTTAAGTTTGCCCATTTAAGTACACAACTCTCAGAACTGTATACACTTAAGTACACAACTCTCAGAACTGTATAGACTCATATTGACTATAGAGTTGTGCTGGAAGACCTGTACATTCCTAAAGATAGCTAGTTCTTGCTTGATAGATGGAGCTGTAAACGCTTTAGGAACCTGAGATTCTAGACACAGCAGTACCATCTTGTGGTCTCAGTGGGTACTTCACAGGCACAATATAAATACAGCCATCCCTCCACCTTTGCAGTTTTTTACGGATTTGATTATTCATGGATTTGATTCTCAAGTTTCTCCTGACATGACAAAAAGAAGAAAAAAAACTTACTTGAAAGTAAAATGCTCAGAGTTAGATTTTGCTTTGCAAAAACTGTCAGAACAATGCTTGAGGTGACCCTTCTGTTTCTCTGCCCGCAGCTTCAACGTCTGCCCTCGCAACTGCTCTGGCCAAGGGGAATGCAGGCTCACCAACAGCAGCAAAGTGGTGGAGTGTGAATGTTCAGAGCACTGGAAAGGAGAAGCCTGCGACATTCCTTTTTGCCCCGAAGACTGTGGCTCCCCAGAGAGAGGCCAATGCAGTAGGAACGTCTCTCAAGGGTGCATCTGCACCGCTGGATGGCAAGGTGGGTGAGAAGTTGGCACTAGCTAACAGAGTTTTAGATCTGGCTCCTCCTTTTTTGTTTTCTCTTCAGGGCTGAGATCCTGACAGGTAGTAACTACCCTATCGTAGCAAATTTTACTACCAGATTTCAGCTGTATCTTTAGGTTTCTTTGTGCTTTCATATGAAAGCACAATTTTCTCCTATATCTCTTCCATTCCTGTACATCAGTGGCTCCCAACCTGTGGTCTGTGGATCACCAGTGGTCCGCAAGAATGAAAATATGTTCCACGGCCTCACTATTACTACATTGTTGCCTCGTAACCATGCAGAAATGAGAGCAACTGGTCTTGCGAAACCCTCTTATAGTGCTGGGGCAACGGGGATGTCAGGAGGGGAGAGGCTAACTACTCATGAAAGATGACTACTACCACAACAGCTCTAGATTGTTGAATATGGTTTCTGTGGGTGAGCAGATGGTGACTACTGGATGGCATATGTTTTGTATCAGAAACTAGAGCTCATGTAGTCTATCCAGTGCAATTTTCTGAATCAGCACCCCAAACAACCAAACCGAATCTAATGTTGACCAAAAACTGATTCAAATAATGTTGGAGAGTGGTCCCTGGTCAAAAAAAGTTTGGGAACCACTGCTGTACATAATCTCAATGACAGAAACATAATCTCAATGGTATACACATAATCTCAATAGCAGAACCTTTGCAACCCTGCAAGCAGAACTTGCCATATAGGCTACTATTTATTTATTTATTTACAGTATTTATATTCCGCTCTTCTCACCCCGCAGGGGACTCAGGGCAGATTACAATGCACATATACATGGCAAACATTCAGTGCCGTTAGACATACAACATATATAGACAGACACAGAGGCAATTTAACATTCCAGCTTTCCAGCTTCATGAGGGTATGCTCGATTCCAACCACAGGGGGAGCTGCCGCTTCACCGTCCACTTGTGACACCAAGTCCTTGATGGAGTACTTCCTCATTCCTACACACACTGCTGGAAGGTTTTATGATGTCGTAAATTAGTTAAATAAGCCTCCTCGCATAAAGCGGTACATAAATTTCCTACTTGACAGATGCAACTGTCTTTCGGGCTGCATAAATCAACAGCAAGCTAGACTATTAATGGTCAGGAGCTCACTCCAACCCAGGCTGGCTTTGAACTCATGACCTCTCAGTCAGTAGTGATTTAATACAGCTGGCTGCTAACTATTTGGCACTTTGTTGACAGAATATTAGGTAGGATATATAACGTTGGCCTTGTCCAACATGCCTTTTCCAGAGTTTTTATATTTTTGCAAATCTGGAGCCATCTAATTACAACAACATTTAGGCTTTTGGACTCTCTCACACCTCCAGTTAGGAGTATTTTTCAGCTCCTTACCAGTTCTTAGTGAATTTATACTCTATCGATGTCTGTAATATTTTTTGTTTTGGTAATAGTTTGCACAGAATCCTTTTACCGATACCTGATCCCAACTCTTAAAATGCAATATCTGCTGCTCCACTTAGGCACAGACTGCTCGATTCCTGTTCCAGCAAACCGCTCATTTTGGACCCGTGAAGAATTCTACCTGCCCAAACTCCCGAGAGCGTCGCATAAAGCGGTAGTCCATGATGACATCATGTGGGTCGTTGGGGGCTACATGTTCAACCACACAGATTCCCAAATGGTTTTGGCGTAAGTAATACTTTGCAAAATGGTTGTATGTTTGGGGATGGACAGGCAGAGAAGTTCCATGGGCAGCTTCATGTCAATTTGTTTCTCCCTTGATAGTTCTTAAATCACATCTTATGTTAGAGCAAATAACAGCAGTTGTTTTACAGAAACTTCTATTAAATGTTTCCCTTCTTTACATTTGGCCTTTTGAAAACTGCTTTGATAAGGTTTCCCCAAAAGCATGGCCTTTGAGATAGTAGAGCACTCCACTGTCAAAACAGCTGTGAGCACCAGGATGTTTTTCCTACTATTTAGGTGGAAATTCTTTTCCTGTCATTGTATCTATTGCTCCATATCATAGTCTCTAGAGCAGCGGAAACTAAGCCAACTCTATCTTCAGTATGGCATCCTCTAAGCTGCATAAGACTTAGTTTCCAGACCTTTTCCCATTTTGATTGCTCTTCTCTGGACATTTTCTGTTGGTCAGTATCCTTATTTGACTCTTGGTAGTCTCTCTGAAGTCTTGTGTAGGAATTCAATGCTGAGTAACGTTCAGAGCTTTGCATAATTGGATGCTCAGGGGCCTGGCAGAAAGCCTGACCCAACTCTCAGGATATCTGTCCCAAGGAGCGTGGATTCTGTCTTTTGCAAACACAGCAGAACACAGGGCTCCATCTTCAATCTTCACCCATGTATTTTTGTGAATGGCACATAGTGGACAACTGTCCAGTATTGATTTATTTTCCCTCGCTTCTGATCTCTCTCTCTCTCTATCTATACACATGCACACACACACAACTATTATGGCCTAGAGACACAAGTATTTTTTTTTAAAAAGAAAAAAGAAATTTTATATGGAATAAAAAGGAAAAAGATGGCTATGTCTATCTATCTATCTATCTATCTATCTATCTATCTATCTATCTATCTATCTATCTATCTATCTATAAATGCTCTGTGCATAATGAGTTCCTTAAAAACAAAAGAACCAATGAACGAAATCACACCAAATTTGGCAACAAAATGTCTCACAACACAAGGAGTGAACATCACTCAAAAAAAATATGATTTTGTCATTTGGGAGTTGTAATTCCTGGGATTTATAGTTCAACTACAATCAAAGAGCATTCTGAACTTCATCAATGATGGAACTGAACCAAACTTGCCACACAGAACTCCCATGACCAACAGAAGATATTGGAAGGGTTTGGTGGGCATTGACCTTGAGTTTGGGAGTTGTAGTTCACCTACATCCAGAGAGCACTGTGGACTCAAACAATGATGGATCTGGACCAAACTTGGCACAAGCACTCAATACGCCCAAATATGAACACAGATAGTGTTTGGGGAAAATAGACCTTGACATTTGGGAGTTGTAGTCACTGGGATTCACAGTTCAACTACAATCAAAGAGCATTCTGAACCCCACGAACGACAGAATCAGGGGMAAACTTCCCACATAGAACCCCCATGACCAACAGAAAATACTTAAGGCCATCCAATCCAACTCCCTTCATCAGGGCAAGAAAATATAAACAAAGTCCTCCTGACAAAGAGCCATCCAGCCATCGATAAAGTTAGATAGATGGATAGATAGATATGATTCACACACAGAGAGATATAGTATCATASATTTGAAAGGGACCCTTAAAGAAGGACAATAATATGTTCCAGACAATCTCCACATCAACACTGACAAAGAAACAACAAAAAATACTGTTTACCCACAAGCATAAAGAAATTACATATATTAGAAACCAAAACTTTCTCTTTATTTTCCAGATCAAAAGACTGGGCCACAGCAACGYGTGGCAGGGGACAGCTAGTGTTTAATAAATACAGATGGGCTTGAAACGTATGTGCTTTGGTGTATTGGGAATAAATATGATTGACATTACTTTCCTCCTTGCAACAATTGATTGTAGAACAATCCCCAATGTTTGGGGTCTTAATAGGGGTCAAGGATTAGGGTTCCTTTAAGGAAGCTCAGCAACTCCAAACGAGGGGCCTTTAAAACTCAACTGGGTTCTAGAGTCAAATCTGGGTTCTAGATGCAGATTTTACCAGGATCCCTGTGTCTTGCTTTGCATGGAGCTAAATGGCGAGGAAGCAGACTATTAACTCCCAAGGCCAGGATGGCCAAGGCAGTCCCGGCAGCCAGCCCTCCCTGCACCAGCAGCTCTTTGGTGGTCAGCACTTGACCCACAACTGTGGTAACCATCGTCCCCTCAGCCTGGTATGTTGGCCCCTCCGCTGGGCTGTAGCACAGCAGCACCACTCTGTTCGGGGCGTCCACTGGCCTAGACATATGGCTGCCTTCTGCACCAACAATGGAAGGCTCTGTCTTTGTTGGAGCAGGAGCTGCATTCAGATCCTCTGTCATCATCATTGTCATCCTCTGAGTCAATCCTGTGCAGTGCTGGGCCTCCTTGGCTACCTGCTCCCAATTCATCTTGGCAATGTAGGTGATGGAGAATGTAGAAGGAATCAGTGTGCAAACCAACATCCCAATCCAAAGGCCTATCAGGAAGGGCGTTCCAGAGGCAGGGGGCCACCACCGAGAAGGCCCTCTCTCTCGTCCCCACCAACTGTGCTTGTGATGGTGGTGGGAGTGAAAGGAGGGCCTCCCTGGAAGATCTTAAAGTTCGCACCAGTTCATAGAGGGAGATGCGATCTCGAAGATAGGCAGGGCTCGAACCGTTTCAGGCAAACAAGAAACAGGATGAAGGCTGGCTTATTGAATTATTTTTTCTGACTCCAGTTTACTTCTAGATCAAAAAAAAAAAAAAGAAAAAATAAAAGAAAAGAAGCATCTTCTGGGCCTAAAAATGTCCAGAGATCTCTAAAATGTGGGAAAGATGCTCTCAAACCTGCTATTGACTACATTTTGCAATTTTGCATTAATAAATAATTGATAGTGTTTTCTGTATACTGACTTATTTTTCTCCCCACAGTGAGTTCTCATACTTTCTTAAAAGCATGTTACACATTGTTTTTGGGCACACATATCTGAGGCATATTTAATTAATATATCAGCCAATCACTCAATCTGAAGTCAATACAGCTGACTTCAATAGAAGTTAACCAAAAGTGGCAATTCGCGTGGCTGTGTGCCTGGTTGGCTGCGATAGAACTTAAAAAGACATTAAAGCAGAAGGTTCCCATTCATCCCTTCTGTTTTGAATGATGTCCAAGGAGAATATTTCAAGACAGGACTAAACAGAAAATGGAATAATCTTTCTCTTTTTCATTGTATTTTCCATAAACGTTTTGAATTTATTTGAAGTTCTTCTGGGGCTACTTTTTTCCATACTTTAAAAAGTGCAGAAGTTTATATTATCAGTATGATGGTTATACCCACATCCGGACTGGCTTTATTTATGGTGTAAATATCCCTTTCATTACTCTTTCTATTCTTTTCCTTCAGGTATTGTGAGTAGTATAAATAGTAGCTGTGCATTCAAAAGGACATACCTGTCTGTTTTTGCCCTTTTCCTTCTGCAGGTATGACCTTGTTTCCAGTGCGTGGCTACCTCTCAACAGCAGCGTGAATTCAGTTGTGATCAGATATGGTCATTCTGTGGCCTTCCATGAAGTAAGTGGGTTCTCCTTATTTCTGGTCTTATCTGAATGCTGAGCCTGGCATAAAGAGAAGCTGGAAGGATAAGCGTTAAGTATTTCACACTAATGAGCTGCTTCCAGGTCTCAGCGAGGGCTCATCCACACCGTACAGTTAATGAAGTTTGATGACACTTTTAACCATGCGTAGCTCATAGTTTGCTCAGTCAGTTTTCACAGCCAAGCAGGCTACTCACCTTTCTCAGGTACTTAGGAGCAATCAAAAATAATAATAATACAGGGATTACTTTCTATTGGCAGGTTTTATTTTCCTTTGAAACTCCTTAGTGACTCCATTCCACTCTTCTGGCAGTGTTTTCTCTCCTGCCTTTGTCCATTCCAAATGATGTATTGGTGTCTTACAATAAAAGACAATAAAAGAAAATATCAGAAGATGGGGTGTAGTTCTTAGGAAGCAACTGAAGTTTCTAAGGTTCATGTGATTCTGGTCCAGAGAGGGTGACAGAAGGGAGAAGTCACATTCTTGTGGAAGAGCTTTCACAACTGGTTACTGGGGTTTTACTTTCTTAATTGGTCGATACATTTTTCTCAGGAGGAGAAAAATATATCAACCAATGAAGAAAGTAAAAATAGGAAACCTGCTACAAAACAGGAGCTTTTTGGTTGAGGTCCAGGGCCAGAGAAGCAGATGGCGGAAACAGAAGAACGGCCTGCCTCGGGGGAGCGTGCTCGCTCCATCCATGTTCAACATCTACACAAATGACCAGCCACTGCCAGAAGGGACAGAGAGTTTCATCTATGCTGATGATCGTGCCATTACCGCTCAAGCAGGGAGCTTTGAGATGGTTGAACAGAAGCTCTCCGAAGCTCTAGGTGCTCTTACTGCCTATTACAGGGAAAACCAACTGATCCCTAATCCATCTAAAACACAGACATGTGCCTTTCACCTTAAGAACAGACAAGCATCCCGAGCTCTGAGGATTACCTGGGAAGGAATCCCACTGGAGCATTGCAGCGCACCCAAATACCTGGGAGTCACTCTGGACCGTGCTCTTACCTACAAGAAGCACTGCCTGAACATCAAACAAAAAGTGGGCGCTAGAAACAATATCATACGAAAGCTGACTGGCACAACCTGGGGATCACAACCAGACACAGTGAAGACATCTGCCCTTGCGCTATTCTACTCTGCTGCTGAGTACGCATGCCCAGTGTGGAACACATCTCACCATGCTAAAACAGTGGATGTGGCTCTTAATGAGACATGCCGCATTATCACAGGTGTCTGCGCCCTACACCACTGGAGAAATTACACTGCTTAGCCAGTATTGCACCACCTGACATCCGCCGGAAGTTGCAGCCAATAGTGAAAGGACCAAGGCAGTGACATCTCCAGCTCATCCCTTGTTTGGGTATCAGCCAGCACGTCAACGACTTAAATCAAGAAATAGTTTTCTTAGATCTACAGAGACACTCGTTGGAACACCTCAGCAAGCGAGAGTTCAAAAGTGGCAGGCTCAAACCCAGCACCTCAATCCGTGGGTGATACCAGATGAGAGACTCTCCCCTGGGCACACAGAAGATTGTGTGACTTGGAAGGTGCTGAACAGACTGCGCTCTGGCACCATGAGATGCAGAGCCAATCTTAAGAAATGGGGCTACAAAGTTGAATCCACGGCCTTATCACATTGGGATATATCAGCATGCGAGTGTGGAGAGGAGCAAACCACTGACCACCTGCTGCAATGCAACCTGAGCCCTGCCACATGCACAATGAAGGACCTTCTTGCAGCAACACCAGAGGCACTCCAAGTGGCCAGATACTGGTCAAAGGACATTTAATCAGCTACCAAGTTTGCAAAATTTGTGTTTTTTTTATCTGTCTGTTTGTTTTGTTCTGTTAGAAATGTAATACAATGTTCTGGTTTCGGATGACACAATAAATAAATTTGTTTGTATTTTCACGCGAAAACAATTTCTGGGTTAATTTCTTTTCCAGAATAAAATCTACATGTACGGAGGCAAGATAGATGAAACCGGGAACGTCACCAACGAGCTCTGGGTGTTTCATATCGCCAACCAGTCCTGGGTCCAAGCCTCCCCCAAAGCCAAGGAGCAGTACGCCGTGGTCGGCCATTCGGCGCACATCGTCCCCTTGGACGATGGCTCGGTTGTGATGCTGGTCATCTTTGGGCACTGCCCTCTTTACGGGTACATCAGCAATGTGCAAGAATACAATCTGAGTGGGTATTGCTTTGTCACAAACTCTTAATCTGTTACTTGTAAAAGAATTGGAGAAGGATTTCTTGCACAAACAGGAGCTGATATTTCTGTGTTTCTCATATGAATCCCTTCCTTCCTTCCCTCCAGCCTGTCCCCTTTTCTCCTCAAAGCTCTTTCTTGACTGTTTTGAAAGTGATTTATTATTCCATGACTCCATTTTTACCTCCGGCTTCCATTTTGCAGTGTTTGTTTGAATATTCAATTCCTCCTCCTCCTCCCCGTAAGACTCTCTATCTGAGTTTACTTTTCCATCCTTCCTTTTGATGCCCTTGCTCTGATAATCTGGTTTCTGCTGTTGTTAAGACCTCACCTTGCATGCCTTTCTCTTGTCAGCTGCCTTGTTTTTATCAGATGCATAATATTCCCTTGCTTTTTTCCGGTTTCTCCTCCTTGCCCTATTGATGTCTTGTTGATCTCTGTCATATTATAATGCCTCTTGAGCTTGTCTTTTGCATAAATGTTCGTTTCATAGGATAGTAGTCTACTGTTTTTATGTTGGTTGCCTTCTTACCCCAGACTCTGTAGTCTTGGGTAGGCACCATTTTAAATATATGTACGTATACCAGCAAGGATGGTAGCAAAACAAATGAAAGCATAATGTTATGTTTTCTCTTACCATTGTGCATGTCTGCTTCAATAACAGTTTTTATAGTACTGTATAAGGAAAACCTTTCTATTAGTATATATCTCAGGGAAAGGGGAAAAACTTCATGGACAGTTTGGAGATATACCATATATACTCGAGTATAAGCCAATGTGAATATAAGCCAAGGCACCTAATTTTACCACAAAAAAATTGGGGAAAACGGATTGACTTGAGGACAAGCTGAGGGTGGGAAATGCAGCAGCTACTGTAAAATTTCAAAACTAAAAAAAAAAAAGATTTTATTTATTAACTTATTTACAGTATTTGTATACCACTTTTCTCACCCTGAGGGGGACTCAAAGCAGTTTACACATAAGTAATGGTAAAAATTCAATGCCAATACAAACAATTAAAATTATACACTACACTTAGACATAATTTAAATTAAAAACAGTACATCCCCAAGCAATAAAACAATCATTGAAATAATAATAATAATAATAATAATAATAATAATAATAATAATAATCCTTTATTTGTACCCCGCTACCATCTCCCGAAGGACTCGGTGCGGCTTACGTGAGGCCGAGCCCAAAATACAACAATAAACAACAACAACAATAACACAGCAAAATAAAACAAAACAAGCAATAACATTAACAACACGCAGTGACGCAGTTAAAAACAATCAATATCGCCCATCAAATTACCATTCCAGTCATTGTCTTCCTGAAATGCTGCATACATTTACTTCTACTGCCCGAAGGCTTGGTCCCAAAACCATGGTTTTAATTTTTTTCTAAAAGCCAGGAGGGAGGGAGCAGACTTTACCTCATTTGGGGGTGTGTTCCATAGGCGGGGAGCCACAGCCGAGAAGGCCCTGTCTCTCGTCCCAGCCAGACGCATCTGTGCTGCTGACAGGAGCGAGAGCAGGGCCTCCCCGGATGATCTTAGATTACGAGGTGGGACGTAATAGATAATAATAAAATTACATTAATTGAGGCATCAGTAGGTTAAATGTTTTTGAATATTTACATAAAACTGTAATTTAAGATAAGACTGTGCAACTCTGATTAAACCATTTTTCTAACATTCTTCAATGTAAATGTGCTTACGTATCCTTCCAATAATAATAGAGTAAAATAATAAATATAATAAAAATAAAAATAATTGAGTAAGATAACGCAAATGTAATAATAACAATAATAATAATAGAGTAAAATTAAAATGTAATAAAAATGAAAACAATATAGTAATGTAAATGTAAACTATATATATATAAATGCTCTGTTTGTAATGAGTATCTTAAAAACAAAAGAACCAATGAACAAAATCACAACAAATTTGGCAACAAAACGCCTCACAACACAAGGAGTGACCATCACTCAAAAATTATGGTTTTGTCATTTGGGAGTTGTAGTTGCTGGGATTTATAGTTCACCTATAATCAAAGAGCTTTCTAAACTCCACCAACAATGGAATTGAACCAAACTTGGCACACAGGACTCCCCTGACCAACAGAAAACACTAGAAGGGTTTGGTGGGCATTGACCTTGAGTTTTGGAGTTGTAGTTCACCTACATCTAGAGAGCACTGTGGACTCAAACAATGATGGATCTGGACCAAACTTGGCACGAATACTCAATATGCCCAAATATAAACACAGATCGAGTTTGGGAGAAATAGACCTTGACATTTGGGAGTTGTAGTTACTGGGATTTAAAGTTCACCTACAAGCAAGGAGCATTCTGAACCCGACAGAATTGGGGCAAACGACAGAATTGGGGCAAACTTCCCACACAGAACCCTCATGACCAACAGAATACTATGTTTTCTGGTGGTCTTTGGTGACCCTTCTGGCACCCCCTCGCAACCCCCCTCCCCAGGAGTCCCAAACCCAAGGTTGATAAATGCTGCCTTAAGGCCATCCAGTCCAACTCGCTTCACTAGGGCAAGAAAACATAAAGCCCTCCTGACAAAGAGCCATCCAGCCATAGATATAGATAAATATATATGATTCATGCACACACACACATGTTTATGACAGATATAGTACCATAGATTTGAAAAGGACCCCTAAAGAAGGACAATTATATGTTGCATGTTCCAGAGTAGTCAAACCAGACAATCTTTACATCAGCACTGACAAAGAACAAGGAATACTGTTTACCCATGAGGATAGAGAAATTACATATATTAGAATTTCTCATTACTTTATTTTCCAGATCAACAGACTGGGCCACAGCAACGCGTGGCAGGGGACGGCTAGTAATAATAATAAAAAAACTAAAATAATAAGTGTAATAATAATAATAATAATAATAATAATAATAATAATAATAACCATCCAGTATAATAATAAATAACTTTGACTCGAGTATAAGCTAAGGGGAGCTTTTTCAGCCTAAAAAAAGGGCTGAAAAACTCGACTTATACTTGAGTATATACAATATATTTTATGGCACCCAGTCTTGTCTTATCTTTGATGGGCTCCATAGCTCTTGAACTGTTGTGGGGATAGTGCAACAGACATTTTGTCTCCCTCAATAACAGGAAGGACCTCTGTGAGAAAGAAGAATTGTGCTTCTTGTAGTGACTCTGTTTCATTCTGTTTTAGCATCAAACACATGGAGTATTTTAACAACAAACGGAGCCTTGGTGCAAGGAGGCTATGGCCACAGCAGCGTGTACGATCCTAACGCAAAGTCCATCTATACCCACGGGGGGTACAAGGCTTTCAGTGCCAACAAATACAGGCTGACAGATGATTTATACAAGTATGAAGTCAATAAGCGTGTCTGGTAGGTACATCTGTATTCCTGAATTCTCTTTGCATATGGCCAGCTAAAGATCACTCTGGTTCTCTGGTTGGTGTTATAATCGGTTGTGTCATGATTTATAGATCTGAAATTGCAGATGTAATAATACTTTTTTGGTAACCTGCCCAATCTCCATGGGGGTAATGTTTCCATACTAAATGCAGTATTGTGGTCCCTCTATCTTTGTGAGGTCCCCATGAAAGTGGAAAACCGCAGTATTAATAAAAATGTCATATGCTATCTTTTTAAACTCAGAAAACACTGGGTTGTTGTAGGATTTTCAGGCTGTATGGCCATGTTCTAGAAGCATTCTCTCCTGATGTTTCGCCTGCATCTATGGCAGGCATCCTCGGGTGGTGAGGTCCTCACAATTTCTGAGGATGCCTGCCATCGATGCAGGCAAAATGTCAGGAGAGAATGCTTCTAGAACATGGCCATACAGCCCAAAAAACCTACAACAACCCAGTTATTCCGGCCATGAAAGCCTTCGACAATACTCAGCAGTAGACGTGGTGGCCAACACAATAGTCGCCAATCATCAAATCTGCATATGCTCAACACACACATGTTGAGGGACAACTGCAATTGCATCTTATTCCTAATGTAGTGGATAAATGCAGAGCCACTCTATATAATTATGCCTTAGAGAAGGGTTTGGAGAGTCTTTGAGTTGAGCAGGTACTTCATTCGAAGGGAAGGAGATGACAGATGTGTATTTTATAGCAGATATTTTTTGCCTTTGCCAGAGAATAGGTCAAACATTAAGGTAGATATATTTCCTTATAAATTCATAGTTAGTATGTTTACATGTAAGTAAGTCTGCATGACCTTGGAGGTGTCTATGGACAACGCTGGCTCTTTGGCTTAGAAATGGAGATGAGCACCAACCCCCAGAGTTGGACACGACTGGACTTAATGTCAGGGGACAACCTTTACCCTAAGTCTATATTTCTAGGAAGACATCTCTCCCTCCCTCCCCCCCCCCTTCTCATGAATGACTTTTCAATGACTTTGAAGCATAGGTTCTTTTTATTGCAATTTCCAGTGTGAAAAGGTATATCAGATTACAGAAAACATTTAGAAAAAGAATGACATTGGACATACAGACATACAGATTCTATGCAACTACATTGGATTTACAATTACATTGGTTAACAAACAAACAAAGGGGAATGACACGCATTCATCCACATGTATCCAAAATATTACCAAATATTGCCAAAACTTCTTCCCTAAGCACAATGCCAAGGACCAGATTTGTGTTTTCCATACAGCAGAACCTGACTCCCTGCACAAAATGTAAGACTCCAAAAGTGCACATCATCCTCTTCCCTTGACAAAGACTGCTTCTGTGCAGATCTGCCACTCTCCGAATACACCATCTCTCTCCTTCCCATGGAGCAGAGCATGGCGGGTGAACCAGACTCCTCAGGTCTGCCACACTTTGAGCATTATTAGACTGAGTATTTTATAGGAATATTCTTTTGATGTAGTCCCAAAGTTGTAAATGAATGATAGGCGTCTTCCATCCTGGCTCCATCTCAGTTTCCTGGCTAGATGTTGATCTTCATGATTGGTGTTGACAAACACAAGGCTTGTGTTGACTTCCTTCTTAACATAAGGAAGGTTGCAAACATTTCCTTTATCACTGTCCCGTTCTTATCAGAGATTCTCATTAGCAAGTCCAGCAAGCAGGTAGGTAGTCATTGCAGGCCTTAATATGATACTGGTGTTTCCAAAGTACATCCATCCTTCCATTCATTCGCACACATCATATTAAATTCATATTTGTCAAATCTGCACATTGAATTTCTTGTAATATCTCTCTCTCTCTTTTTTAAACATTTTGAATGATTTCTTAGTATCCAGCTAGGCTTGAATTCCTTTGAAATGACAATTGGGCGGAGTATTCTGATTTTTACTTCTGCCTTCTTCTAGTTTCATATAGTGGATCTTTTCTCATAAAGGAAGTTAACTTACAGTGCTGGAGCATCAACAGGGAGTAAAATAACAGAAAGATTTGGATGTAGATCCGAGAATCACTACCTCATCTCTGCACTTTAAATCCACTTTATGGGCATTCACTGCTCACCAGCTTCTGATAAAAGTGTCTGCAGCCATGATGCCTCATCTGGCCCTAAAGCCAATTGGTGATGAGGACTGAAGGCCAATTTTACATTCCAGCCACTCGCATGCTACTCCATACTGTTGGCATTTGGACCAAGTCTCTACTGACCTTGTCAGCTTGACATGCTCCTGCACCTTCTTGATAGCTGAACATTCATCCCAGGAAGCTCTGGCCAGTGCATTATCTTTCCTGAGCAAGGCAAGGTTTCACAAGGAACCTTTTTCAGCCTACAAAAAGGGATGAAAAACTAGGCTTATACTCGAGTATATACAGTAATTTTATTTTATAATTTTGTGCACCAAGCAAAGTTTGTGTACATTGAACCAGCAGAAAGTAAAGGTGTTACTTTCTCCGTCACTCATGCAGATGATTTGGGAGTATTTCAGATGTTGGTATTTTGAATACGGCATCCTCAGCCTGTTTCTGTCCCAAAGTCTGCAAGGCTGGCCTGTGTGATCCATGAAGAATAATTGTCCATTTATCCTTTGATCTGCCTCCCCTAAAAGCTTGAATTCTTGAAGTTGAGTTGGTTCAGTTTTCTCTTAATTATGCTGGAATAGCTTCCGAAATCAAGGTCCTCTTTATTTCTGCAGGACAATTCTTAAGGAGAGCAAGTTTTCCCGATACTTGCACACTGCTGTGATCATCAGTGGGACCATGTTGGTCTTTGGAGGAAACACCCACAATGACACCTCCATGAGTCACGGGGCCAAGTGCTTTTCTTCGGATTTCATGGCCTATGATCTGGGTAAGTTCCATTGTGCAGCTGAATTAAATCCAAATTGTATAGTACTTTGTTTCCTTGCCAGAAGTGATCACAGAACTATTATGGAAATCCAGTTAAGCACCAACCTCCTTTTATGTTTGAGTACATGCAGTGGAAGTGAGAGAGTTTTTCATTTTTCATCTTCTTTTTTCCATTTCCCAAAGTTTATTTATTTATTTATTTATTATTTGAACTTCTATGCGGCCACTCCCCTGGGGCTCGGAGCAGCTTACAAGGATGGCTAAAATCTAACAAAATTTAAAAGCAATTTAAACCAATTTAAAAACAGTAATATCAAACATGAAAAGCCTGTCGAAACAGGTATGTCTTACATGCCCTGCGGAAAGCTGGTAAGTCCCGCAAGGCACGGACTTCAGTTGGCGGAGTATTCCAGAGTGATGGTGCCACTACTGTAAAGGCTCTGCGTCTGGTTGCTGTTAGACACAAGGTCTTGACACTGGGGACTTCCAATAGATCTTGGTCCTCAGAACGGAGGGATCTCTGGGGTTGGTAGGGGGTGAGGCGGTCCCTCAGATACATCGGCCCCAGACCATGCAAGGCCTTAAAGGTGAGTACCATCACTTTGAAAGTGATCCGGTGCTCAATTGGTAACCAATGCAGCTGTAGTAAGATTGGTGTTATGTGGCATCTCATCGGAATTCCTGCAAGAAGCTGAGCAGCTGCATTTTGTACCAACTTGAGCTTCCGGATCACCGACAGAGGAAGGCCAATGTAGAGGGCGTTACAGTAGTCCAGTCTTGAGATGACCGTGGCCTGGATCACTGTAGCTAGGTCGTCCCTGGACAGGGAGGGGGCCAGCCGTCTAGCCTGCCGCAGGTGAAGAAAGAAGGTGGTTCTGCTCACGGCGGAGACCTGGGCCTCCATCGTCAGCAGAGGGTCCAAAAGGACTCCCAGACTCTTTACTAATGATGACGGGCTTAGCGCCTCGCCATCCAGGGTAGGCAGCTGGATGTCCCCACTGCCCGGTCGACCCAGTCATAGGATCTCCGTCTTTGCTGGATTCACCCTCAACCTGCTGGCACGCAGCCATCCAGTGCTTGCTTTCTGTGTTTTGGCTTGAGAGATAGATAACAATAAGCCTGTTAATTGGAGACATTTATACCCTGTGCTTCAGAGGGCATTCCCAGGGAAGTCTCTGATAAGAGTTTACCCTGGTGTTGCCACATCAGATCCTCTTTAAAGGCAGAAGGGGAATTGGAACTGCCTCAAATCCCACCGGTCCCTCCTACTTTGTATTGTCTCAAATTAACCAGAGCAGCAGCAGCAGGCAGATCAGACTGGCTTGTTTCTCAGATTTGGCACTTGATTTTTGCCATTGCTGCTTCCTCCAGACCTTTCGTTTTCAAAAAGATTGCAACTGGGACAGGCAGGGGAAGTAGCAGAAGACATTAAAGCCCTGCAGCACATCTCTGGCAGAAGGTTATTGTGAAATTATTATTTATTATTTTATTTCCAGTATTTCTATCCTGCTTCTTCTCAACCCCCCGAAGGGGGACTCAGGACAGCTTACATTTGGCAGAAGAACCCAAACGATATATAAAACTAAGCAGTCATTGAAGTAGCTACTATGACATATTATAAAATATATCAAAAGGCCATGCATTAACTGAACAGATGCTTACACTAACACATAACTACAGAAACAATTCTCCAAACCTCATACTCATTGTCTGTTGATTTTTGCTCCTTATTAATCCACTCCCTCTACGTAGTACTATAGAACCACACTTCTACTTTATTAATGTTCTTCTAATTCTTAAATTCCAACAATTGACGTTTGTGCCCATTGTTGTTTTGAAAATGCCTAGTCCACAAAACTACGGTGAGGTGGATCAGGAATTTAATTGTGCAAAGGTCCTCCGAGCCACCGCCGATACCTGAGCATCAAGTATTATCGCTGAGTCCAGGAGGAAAAAATCAACTTCTATCCCCATACCAAAAAAGGGAAATGTGAAAGACTGCTCAAACTTCCGTACAGTGGCCCTTATTTCTCATGCCAGTAAGGTAATGCTCAAGATCCTGCAAGGAAGACCCCAGCAATACATGGAGCGAGAGTTGCCAGATGTTCAAGCTGGGTTTAGAAAAGGCAGAGGAACGAGAGACCAGATTGCCAATATCCGCTGGATAATGGAGAAAGGCAGGGAGTTTCAGAAAAACATCTATTGCTGCTTCATTGACTATTCTAAAGCCTTTGACTGTGTGGATCATAATAAATTGTGGCAAGTTCTTGGTGGGATGGGCATCCCAAGCCACCTTGTCTCTCTCCTGAGGAATCTGTACAAGGACCAATAGCAACAGTAAGAACTGACCACGGAACAACAGACTGGTTCAAGATTGGGAAAGGCGTACGGCAAGGCTGCAGACTCTCACCCAACCTTTTTAACTTGTATGCAGAACACATCATGCGAGGATGTGCGGGGCTTGATGAATGCAAAGCTGGGGTGAAAATTGCTGGAAGAAACATTAACAACCTCAGATATGCAGATGATACCACTTTGATGGCCGAAAGCGAGGAGGAGCTGAGGAGCCTTATAATCAAGGTGAAAGAAGAAAGCGCAAAAGCTGGGTTGCAGCTAAACATAAAAAACCAAGATTATGGCAACAAGAATGATTGACAACTGGAAAATAGAGGGAGAAAATGTGGAGGCCGTGACAGACTTTGTATTTCTAGGCGCAAAGATTACTGCAGACAGCAGACTGTAGCCAGGAAATCAGAAGACACTTACTTCTTGGGAGGAGAGCAATGTCCCGTCTTGATAAAATAGTAAAGAGTAGAGGCATCAGACTGGTAACAAAGATCCGCCTAGTCAAAGCCATGGTCTTCCCTGTAGTCACCTACGGATGTGAGAGCTGGACCTTAGGGAAGGCTGAGCGAAGGAAGAGAGATGCTTTTGAACTCTGGTGTTGGAGGAAAGTTCTGAGAGTGCCTTGGACTGCGAGAAGATCCAACCAGTCCATCCTCCAGGAAATAAAGCCCGACTGCTCATTGGAGGGAAGGAGACTAGAGACAAAGTTGAAGTCCTTTGGCCACATCATGAGGAGACAGCGAAGCCTAGAGAAGACAATGATGCTGGGGAAAGTGGAAGGCAAAAGGAAGAGGGGCCGACCAAGGGCAAGATGGATGGATGGCATCCTTGAAGTCACTGGACTGACCTTGAAGGAGCTGGGTGTGGTGACGGCCGACAGGGAGCTCTGGCGTGGGCTGGTCCATGAGGTCACGAAGAGTCGGAGACCACTGAACGAATAAACAACAACCAGGAGGACACCCCAAACTGCAGACCTGTTTCCTCAGGGGGAGTGTAACCCCATTGAGCACAGGTTGCCACCCTATACCTCACTTGGCCCCACTACTGACCAGGAGGACCTCTGTTTTGGTAGGATTAAGCTTCAGTTTGTTAGCCCTCATCCAGCCCATCATATCAGCCAGACTCTGGGTTCTGCTTTCCATATGAGTGGGATTTTTCACAGTTCTGCCATTCTTTGCAGTGCTAAAATGCTATCCTGGGAGACCTTCTCATGCAAATAGGGACCTCATTTGATAAATCAGCACAGCTACACCTTGAATAGCCGGAAGAGGGCAGCATCCAACAAATCCCTGACACGAGTCCTGCTTTCTTAATACAGGATGAGGATCAGTTTATACACAGACAAATAAAATCCAGATCATCTCTTAATACTCTCCCTCGGTTTTTTATGAAAGCCTCGCCATAATTCCCGGGCTTCTCAAATGATTCGTTTTTCCCCACACGTTGTAACACTGCAATCATTTTTGCTAATCCTCTTCTGTGGAAGAGTTTGGTGCCTCTCTTCCCAGCCTTGAATGTGTTTTTAAGGAACTCCTTGCAGCCATCAAAGGCCCTTCACCATAACGAAGCTGCTGATTGCGCAGCCCTTGGCTTGTGGTGTTTATTGAAATACTGGAGAGCTTTCCCCTGAAAACGGGGGAACGTGGTCAGAACACAGGCATCGCCTTTCACAATACGTGCACGCATTCAGGGATAAATTCTGGTAGTTTTCGGAGCTGTAAATCTCAAGTTGGCTTGATTCAAAGGTCAGGAAGGAAATAATTCCTGGTAATTTCAAAACCATTAGCTTTTTCCTCCTCTAGTTGATTTCCAGCAAAAGAGGGAGAAGAGAGCACAGAGTCAACACATTCCAAATACTCCTCTTAATCTACCAAAATATGTTCCTTGGCCTCACCGCTCTCAGCTTTCATCTTGGCAGACTAAATAAAAAAAAAAAAGAAATATGAAAAAAGACCATTCAGAGCTTTGAGTCTCTGCCCTTAGAGGTGCCTTTTAAAAATGGGAACAGCACATTTACCCATTCAGTAGTTGAGCATTGCATTAAATGCTCTCAGACTGAACTTTAGACAAAAGAAATGGCAAATAAAAATCAGAATAAAAAAATCACTAGATTTGAGGCAGCCCACATGATGGTGCAGGGCATTGGCCAAACCCATGATGGATGGCTGTGGCCTTAAATGCTAGCAAACTACTTGATCCAGGGAAAATTATCCTGGGAAGCGTTAAGCTTTAAAATAATTGTACGCATATGCAAAATTCTTCTTTAATTTTCAAAATTATACTGATGTTATACAGGTCTCTAGTAGTCAGGACAGTGTATAATAATAATAATAATAATAATAATAATAATAATAATAATAATAATAATACACTTGATTTATATTCCGCTTTATCTCCCCGGAGGGACTCAGAGCGGATTACAATACACATATGAGGCAAACATTCAGTGCCTTCTTATACAACAGTGAACAATGACATACAGCACAAAGGTAAGGGTCTTCCCCTTTTTTCCATCTCTGGCATCTGGAGCTCACCCCACTCCCTGGATTCGAACCACCAACATTTTGGTCAGCAAGTTCAGCAGCTCATTGGTTTAACCCACTGTGCCACCAGGAGCTCCTAGTATATATTCTAGTAAACAGTAAAAATAATAAT